TGAGTGCATCCAGTGTGAAGGACTGCCCGACCGTCCAGGGCCAGAGGAGTCTTTGGGAGTAAAAGCAGGAGGCTGGTGTTCTCTGTAGCATGAGGCCATGACACTTCCTAAAGTAGGGTCTTGGGTGGTGCTGACCACTTGAGGAGACCCACAGGCTCCTTGGCAGTTGCTCCTTTTGACCCCCAGGATGTGCGGGCAGCACCTCAGACCTGGGAAAGCAGCCTTCTAAAGGTCCTGGGCAGATGCTGCCTATGCCTGCGGGAGTCTGGGCATGCTTCCTCTTCTTCAGCTCAGACCAGGAAGGCCTCATTAGGCAGCTCCTGGTTCTCAGGGAGGGACCCAGAAACACATTTGAGTTTTTAAGCAGGGGCTGGCATGCTCATCCCAATGACTCAGAATGGCCATCCTCCAGCTCTGCCCATCTGGGCCAGGAAGAGGAGCAGTTCCCCTCTGGGGGCTCATGCCATCTGAGCATCCCTCTCAGGATTCCTAGGGCTGGAGGCACTTGCCCACCTTGGGTCTGCCTGTGCTGGGGTTTCAGGTGGGCCTGGGTTTCTCCTGCTCCTGAACACTGAGGCCGTTGGTCAATAATCACTTACAATCACATCTTTACAGTATTGTCTTTCACAAAAAAAGAAATAGTTTCCTTTATGCATTGTTAGGTCAAGTGAGAAATCAAGACAGATGAGAGTGTTGGTCAGTGGGGGACACTAGGCATCTCTTCGTCCTCTGTGGGACCCACCTGCCCTGCAGAGTGGGTACTGGGATCCTGGACCCATTCCTAGCGCCCAGACCACTTCCCCCTTGACCTATGACCTGGGCATAGCAAACTCTTCTCCACTCCCTGTGCGAGGCTCCTAGGAACCCTCAGCAGCCGCGGCTCCGCTTGGTTTGACCTTAGAACTACAGTGGGTGGCAGGGGTGTGTGTATCTCTTAGATACGGGGCACGACATGATGCCCAGGTTGTGTGTGCCTGCGAACTGTAGGGTGTAGACACTCTGGGGTCCCTGGAGCTCGCCTGTCATCCCCCAGCCTGATAGGGACGCAGGGTCAGGGCGCGCCTGGAGACGGGAGGGGTCACCACGAAGACACAGGTGGGCACAGGTGCCAATCCCAGCGCGAATCCTGGCCGGTGACTAAATCGCACAGGGGCCGCCCAGCTGCAGGCGGGGGCGGAGCCCGATGGGCGTGGCCGGAGGCCGGGCGCCGGAGCGGGGCGGAGCCTCTGCGGGCGGGGCTGG